TATTTTACTCTAATAAATATTTTATGCTTGCAACCCGAGAAAACTAGCAATTTCAAGGTCCAATTTCAACTGTCAATAAAGGATGGGTCCTCCTCATACTTTAATTAGCCAATAGTTTTTAATATGCCAAACTTCATCATACAGTGTTTTTTATTCTTTTACCTGAACAGTCTCAATAAAATTTGGTCTTCAAATTTTTCCACATTTTATTATAGATTTCTTCACCCAGGATAAAGAGATTTTTGTACTTTCATTTTTGCCTCAATAATTGTACTTTAAATTATGTACCTCAGGTTCAAGAATATTTATAGTTTGCTATATTCTAATAAAGGCAAATAATGTATTTAGTACTCTGCAGAGGAGCAGAGGAGCCACAACACTGTTTAATGTCTGTGAAACTCGTAGAAGCTAGAACACACACAAAGATGTTGAGCACTTGGTCAGTATCATTGGAATAAGCTCCGTGGAAATGGAGTTTCCATTTGCTTTTTTAGTTTCTCATTATCATTTCTTAGAATCTGATTTTTCATGACTAATAGAAAAGGTCTAAAATATTTATTTGGGTTTATGTTTATAACGAACATTCTTCTTGTTCCTCTATTTTAAAATCACAGGTAAGCTATAAGATATATCATCCATGATCCATTTGACTATGAGTAACTCCTGGTAGAAATTTGGTAACTGTGTATATTTATAAATGAATACACACTCATGGACACACTCACTCCTGAACATGTATTGTAGTAGCTGAACCAATGTGTGGGTAATTGTAAGATGAAAATTTAGAGCTCTCAAACATGACTAGGATTTTCAATTTCCTTCCAAGTTTTACAAAATAATCATTGTACCTTTTAAACAAAGGTCATTTATTGAGAGTCAGTTGATGGAGACTCTCTAGCCTCACAGAATCATGCTGAAAGTAGAAAGCCACAATTCATACTGTCTTTTAAATCATGCCTTGCAACTTCTCTTTTCCTCTGTTTTCTTAAATATGAAATGATTAAAATAAATGTAGCCATTTTATTAGGTATAGTGAGTCTAAAACATAACGGATGCAAGTTGTTCAGAATAGAATTATATCCATTTTAAATGCTCAATAAATGTCAATTGTTGCTTTGGTCTGAATAGATAGTATAAAGATCAAATTCACCTTAGCTTTTTTTTTTTTATAAAAGTTTCTGAAAGAGTAGAATTAAATTTAGAGTATTATAGGGATTTCTTTTCAATGTGAGAAATATGTGGTCTCTTTTATTATGTGGTGGTTTAATACTTTTTGTCCTATTTTAGATAGATTCAAGTAACTGGGATTTGTAATTCAGTCAACTTTTTTTGGTTGTTGTTTGCTTTGTTTGAGATAGGGCTTCACTATGTGGCTTAGGCTGGCTTCAGCTTTCAATCCTTCTGCCTGTGCCTCCCAAGTGCTGGAATTATAGACCTGGACCACTACACCTGACTTAAACCAACTAGCAGTTATCTACAGGCAGAAAGATACAACTGGCACTGTATGATATGGTAGCCACTGGCCACTCATAGCTATTTAAGTTTAACTTAATAAAGATTAAGTAAAACAAACTTCTATTCTCAGTCACACCAGCCATATTTTATATGGTCAACAATCCTAGGTAGTTAATGCTATGGTATTGAACAGTGCATACTTAAAACATTTCCATCACTGCAGAAAGTTTCAATGAACAATGGTAACACAGAAATATCTTGTTTTTATTGCTTTTGAAGAGAGCTCAAAGTTTACTCTTCAGCTCTTGACTCCCCTAATTGATGACTTTGTGACCAGTAAGCTTTGCTCACTTTTTACCTTCTTATCTCCCAAGTGGAACTGTAGGTCAAATAAAGACCACTTTGCAAAAGTGTTGTACACACACAGCCAGAGGTCATAACTGTTCTTTCAGAGAGGTTGCTCTGCTCCTGGAACATTACTCCTAAATTCCTGTACTTCTTTTAATCTGCTACTTATAATTGCATGTTTGGGAATTTTTGCTCATGTCCACACAGATGAAACCCAATGTAGGTTCTCAGATGGATTTTTCCTACTTCAGTCTATCTTCAGGGACTATCTGGCCTCTCTACAAAAAAAAAAAATCACTATTTTAAATTCCTTATTGATTTGTAACCCAATTTTCCTTATTTTGTTACCTGTTTATTTAAGCATAAAGAATAAAAATAAATATAATACTACCCTAAGACAAGTATAGTTGGATGGCTAAGAGGTTAAGAATAAATATCTTATGATATATGACAGTACTATATCAAAGTGATTTAATTCTTAATTATCCATATCTGGGAAACATCTGGGCCATTGTCAATTTTGCTGCTGTGCACCTAAACCTTCTCTAAAAATATAGTCTTCAAACATCAATAAAGTCAAATTCTGTAATTTTTGTTTCAAACAAATTGTGAAAAATGTGTTCAGCACTTTATCTTTTTCTTTAATGCACCTTATAAATCATTATAAATAGTTCATATTTTGCCTATCAAATTTATCTCTAATTAAACTTTTAGAAGAGTTTTTCAGTATATAGATTGGATATAAGCTCATTTCTTTTTTAAAAAGATAAACTTTCAATTTTTTAATGTAAAACTGTGACCATTAAATATGTGATAAAGCTTTTAGTTAACAAATTATCACCAAGATAAAAAGGGAAATATTTGCTCATAGTTTTCAAACAAAAAAACTGAACAGTCATATATTCCTTCAAAAAGAGCTACTAAGTGTGAGTGTGTGTAGACTCCTGTTCAGTATATACTTTACATACAGAAAAGGCAAATAAAAATTAAACGGTCCTTCCATTTTCCAGTTACTTATATTGAATACAGTGTTGTGATGCACCTAAGTTTTATAATACAAATTATTTTTGTATGTTCTAATAAATGGAAATGCATAATATGTTTAGGTTTATTTCAAATAAATGATAAAACATGTTCTTTTCTTTCTTCCTTGTTTTATTCTGAGTTTTTGTATTAAAGAGCTAAGCTGAGCTGATTAAAATCACTTCAATATCATGGGGGAAAGCTTGGGAGCGAAGATTAGCTCCTCAGGCAGGATGAGTTAGGTCATAGTTTACCAGACCGTGTTCTCCAAATCTGGAAGTCATGTTATGTCAAGAGTCAGCGCCAAAAACTCTTTTATCTTAAATTGGAACTCAGAATTCCCATAGCTGGCAAAACTTTAGTTGGCCAGTTGTAATTATTTGGGGCATTTTTTTAATGTTGAGGTTTATCTTCAATACTTGTCTTCTTTGTTTTCAAAAGTAACTATTACTTTGTGTTTGTTAAACAGTGATATATCTATCTAAAGTAAAATTCATTTTGCCATACATATATTTTGGTTCATAACATAAACAAGAGTAGAATTAATGTGAAATATAAAGGTACATTTGCAGTAAAAGTTTAATAAAAAAATTGGTTTTGATCTGTTAGTGGGAATTCAATTCAAAGCTTCTGACAAAATTTTGTTTCTGACAAAATTTTAAGGATGAAATAGGATATAATAGAATAGTTGTAGGTTAACAAAGAAAAGAAAGTATTTGGGCAGTTATGATATCCACTAATCGTGTGTGTGTGTGTGCTTGCTTAAAGTGTAAGTTATTTTTCTTACTTTCTCTTATAATCAGCCCTGAAGAAAAATAATGTGTAAGCTTCTATGTAGAATAAAGGGAATGAATTTGTCTTATTGGCATTGAAACTCTGGGAAATTTATGTTCATAAACTTATTTGTCATCTATAAAATGGGAATAATGCAATATACCTTACAGGTTAATGTGTGATTCAAGAGATGCCACGTGTTAAAGCCCAACGTGGTATTTGCCATATATCAGACTTTCAATAAGTGGGATCTATTATTAGGAGCAACATCGGCAGTGATAATATAAGACTTTTCCGAAAGCATTAAGTTATATGCCTGGAACTCTTGATATTGCCAGATAAATAATAGGAAGTCTATCAAGCTTATAAACAGAAGGACATGGAGTTCACAAGAGATGTACAGTCAGGTAGAATTGTACTAAATAAGCACAAGCTTGCAAAACTTCATGTGTTTGAATTATTATTCTCTCTATTCTGGTACCCTCTGGTTGATTAGGAGTCCAGTAGCCACTCAACCATTAACCATCCATCCAACCTTCCATCACAACACCTCTTTTGTTGTGAAAGGTACCTCAAAGTATAATTGAGATTAATCTATAGACCTTCTCAAAGACACATGATTTGGCTTCACAGGTACTCTGTAGGATGGAACTAAAAGTTCTGGTTGACAATCTTTAGTTAAATTGTCATCAGGCAGGTAATCTAATCAGCAGTAGTTGTGCACAGGTGTGTATCTAAGCTTTGTCTTGGAACAGGACAATTAATAAGTTTTTACAAATAAAGTGAGGACCATATTGTAGTCAAGCTACAATCATATGGTTTTACATTTTAACTAAGTATACATCTAGTTTGTCCAGATTTTTGTTTATGTTCTCTTCACTCTTACTCATGGACAAATTTCTTGATGGCAGAAAAGACATCTTTTTATAGTGCTGGCAAATATCTGCCATACATACTTATTTTTATGAATGTGTGATATCCTATTATCAATATATAAATCATTACAGAGTCACATTTCTTCAGTTTTTTGTAAAAGTGTAGTTTTTGTATCTTTCCAGTCAATTCATATTTTTCACTGTCCAGCACAGAGTAAGATCAGATAGAAAGTACTTCCTCACACATTAAATCTGTGTATCAACTCACCTGGGCAGTAGGATCTTTACCCTAACACAATGCAGTGGCAGGCAACTCAGCTCCATGTCCCCAGGAATCCTATTATTTGCACCAGTCATAGCATAAGTGTGACTGTTCTATAGTGGCGTTCCAAACGATTTGTCATGCTATGTTTAAGAAACATGAAGGTGTTTACCTTATCTGTGTTATCTATTTTGTTTATTCATTTTATGTTCGAGAGCATAGTGAACACTTTTAAAGATGTGAAGACAATTTTCCTTTTCCAGGTCTAAGAATGAATAAAGGCGTCATCACCCCTCCCCGTACCTCTCCAGCAAATACATGTTCCCCAGAAGTAATCCATCTGAAGGACATTGTCTGTTACCTGTCTCTCCTTGAAAGAGGAAGACCTGAGGATAAACTTGAATGTATGTGTTTTTTTAAGTTATTTGCCATGGTTGGTATGGGGTGGGAGTAGGGGAAGGAGAGGGACTGCAAATTTATGCACTTTAATTACCTCAACTCCAGTTCTCTACATTATTTGTTAAATTAATTGACCTTGCTCAACAATAAAAATTCCTACTACTAAGAGTCAGATAATTTTATCAATTTCACATTCTTTATCAAGTTCCATTTATTATTGATGATTTTTAAGCATATTTTTCTATTACATGATGTTTAAATTTTTTTTCTTCAGTTCCTTTGAGTCAATAAGGTGCTATTAGGACTTTGTATCACTGAGCAGGTTTCCTACGTATACCCAAATTACACCCTTCTTCAGGGACTAATACTCCTTGCCTGCCCACAGCACCAGCACACTCTTTGGCAGAGAGAATTTCTCAAGTGCTAAACTTCAGAGTCTCATTTATAGGATTTGACTGTGGGTGCTATAAGTAGTTAAACAATAACTTTATTTTTCTTTTACAATGTTTCAGGTAAAGAATTTCTATTTAGTTGGAAATACCATACTATTCTCTTTAATAAAATACAGTGACTGAGCTCTCTCTGGTGGCAAGCTATACTCATTGCAATGCAAGCAGCATTTTTCATTTACTCTAAACCTGGTCATTAGATAATCTATTCTCTCTTTAAAGTTCTTTATAAGTATAGTGTGGGTAGTTTATTCAATGATCTAATTAACTTGATTATATTGGAATTTATAAATTTTTTGCTACTAAAATGATAGTGAAGATAGTGAATCCAAACTTTAATATTTCTAAAGCAAATGTACAATGTGTTATTTCATGATTGTGACTAGGAAGCATTTTTAGTTAAATCTAGTGGTATCTTTTTGATAATATTTCTCCTACCAATGAAGATTCACTATAATATGATTATTTAAGAGTCACACCTGCTTAGCTTATGAATAAATCATATGAACATCCTTCTTTAAATATGTATTTATTATTCATCAATGTTGAGTATTTGCACTTCAAGATTTATTTTGTATTCCTAAGAACCAACAGAAATCTCTCTCATTCCAAAATAAATATTAATGTTCAGTGAATTTCTATTGAAGTCATGGCCAGAGAGAAAGTTTGCTCAGGTGTTATCAAGACCATATTTGGGATGATTATGAAAATAGAGAGATAAATATATTTCCCAGATCTGAGAATGAACAAAGACACCATCAATCTTCCCCAAAATGGTCTTTAGTGTTGCAGTTTAATTATTCTAGGTCAATTCATATTATGTGGTTTTTAAGGTGGATTTCCTAAGAACAACAATTTTTGTTTTACAGTTTGAGGTCTTAACCCACATAGCTTTTGTCCGCAATCACAGGCAGAAAGTTAACTCACAATTTATTTAACCACTTCGTTAATCAAGTCATCTTCTCCTGCCGTTTACTTTCCTTCACTGTTATCAACCCCCCTCTTCTTTTCTTTCTTTGCGCTTCTTCAGTTTTTTTTTTTGTTTGTTTGTTTTTAAGCTTACACCAGATTCAGGTAAATTCAGACTCTTCTTATTGGCTAACTTGTATGGTAACGTATTATTATTATTATTACAATTTCCTTAAGACTCTTCAAAGTAGATGATACTTTAATTTCCTTCTCTGCTATCCGGATTTGGTGGTCATTACTCTGGCTATCCATCAAAATCATCATGACTTTTTTTTCACCTTTTCTTTTTTAATGACCATGCCTGACATTTCCCCACATCATTTACATCAGTCTGTCTCCCTCGCCCACTTTCTTAGCAGTTTACCATATGCTTTTACCATTCTACAACTGCACATTTACAAACTCCTAACATTCATGTATTTTTTTGATTTATAGCTTAAAAATTTTTTTTCTCAGTAATATTTTTAAAAGTATTTGACACTGTTTAGTTTAATATACTCACTTCCAAAGGGTTATGACTTATTAAGCACAATATAAAACAGAAGAGCAGAAAGAAGAAAAGCCAATTATGATGAACAGAATAGGTGTAATGAAGCACCTAAAATAATTATCTTGTTCAGGTGAACATTGAATTTGGGTCTTCCTTTCAAGTAGCTAAGCAGAAAGGAATACATACACATTGATTTAGGTCAGAGGTTCCAAACTTCATCACTGTCAGAACCACCTGCAGGACTTGTAGACGCACAGATTGCTGAACCCTACTTTCCAGGATGTCTGATTCAGCAGTCATCAAGTGTGATGCAAGAATTGGCATTTCTAACAAATTTGCAGGTGAAGCTGATGTTTTTGGTCCAGGGGCCACATTTTAAAAAGCCCTGTCTTATGAAATTTCTTCTTTCCAGTGAACCCCTCTACACACATACATACAAACAATTCATAGGACATAAATTGATTTTCTTGGAGTTGCTAAATCACGGCAGTGATTCTTTTAGCTGGCTTATTAGATAACATAAATATTGTCAGTTTTTACAAAAGGAATACATTTTCTAGGAAAATAACATTTCATAGATCTATTCAGTGCTTGCTGCCCTTTACACTTTTCCCTTCTGCCTTTCCTTTCAGGTATTTACAGTAGGTTTAGTATAAAGTTCATTCCATTGAAAAGAAACAAAGATAAGTTCCTGAACTTTCTACCTGTGAGAAGTCATTTCTTTAACTTGTTTTCCCAAACCCAATCCAAATACTTCTCTGAGGACCTTTCCTTCCCTGGGGTTATCAGGTAGAAGGTATTTATGAACTTCCTCCCTGGGAAAGTGTGTACTTTTGCATATACCATATGTGCGTTCAGTTATGGAAGCGGCCAACTTTTATCTTTCCTGGCTTTATCAATGATCAGCCATTCCCATGAATGGACGAGGATGTGATTCTAGGACTGATTTGCCCTCTAAACCTTAAGCCTACCTCAGTACCTTTTGGGAAGTCATTAAGGTTTTCTTGTAGTGTCTTTTCATACCTCAAATTCTGTGACCTCCCCTGCCTTTTATTTAGGCACCTACTTTTATTGTAATACCGTAAGTCTTGTAACTTCCAGGAACTGCTTTCTTTTTTTTCTTTATTCATTTATTCATATGTGCATACATTGTTTGGGCCATTTCTTCCCCTTACTTCCTCTCTCTCCCCGCCTCCCGCCCCCACCTTCTCCCCCTCTCCCGCACCCCATCACTTCCAAGCAGAACCTGTTCTGCCCTTTTCTTCAATTTTGTTGAAGAGTAGACATAAGCAATAATAGGAAAAACATAGCGTTTTTGCTAGTTGAGATAAGGACACTTATACAGAGAGATTCCTAGCATTGCTTCCATGCACATGTGTATTACAGCGTGAATTGATTAATCTCTACCAGACCTCTTCACTACTTCCCAGTCACTTTCCCATATTGAGCTCTGTCATTTAAAGGTTACTGTACTAGCTCCTCTTTAGTGGGCACATCAAACACTTTCAAGTTTTGGGTTTCCTACCTTTCCCTATTCCATCTGTATATGTTCTCCCTTTAGCATGTGACCCATGTCTAATAACATTACTGCATTTGTTTTAAGCCTAAAATCCACATATGAGGGAAAACATACAATTTTTAACCTTCTGAACCTGGGTAACTTTGCATAAGATGATGTTCTCCAGTTCCATCCATTTATTTGCAAATGATAAGATTTCATTCTTCTTCATGCCTGAGTAAAATTCCATTGTGTATAAATACCACATTTTCTTAATCCATTTGTCAGTAGTGGGGCATCTTGGCTGTTTCCATAACTTAGCTATCATGAATAGCGTTGCAGTAAACATGCGTGTGCAAGTGCCTCTGGAGTAACCTGAGTGGCATTCCTTTGGGTATATCCCTAGGAGTGGTATCGCTGGATCATATGGCAGATCTATGTTTAGTTTTTTAAGAAGCCTCCATATTGTTTTCCAGAGTGGCTGTAATAGCTTGCATTCCCACTAGCACAGGAACTGCTCTTTCTATAAAATTTTAAATTCTAACATATTACTTTGACCATCACCTATGTTCATTTAACTTCCTACTCTTCCTCCTTTAATTTAAATATAGTATAGCATAGCCTAGCATAGCATAGTACTCAAGAACATGGGCTTCTACCTTCTCTTCAAATCTAAACTGATCCTATAATCTATGATAATACTCATATAATCCATGATATCAGTTATTCTCTCACACTTAGTTTCAGTTATCCAATTTATGAACTCATACTGAGATGGCAGCAATTAGTGAAATAAAGATATAATTCTAGAGATCATTCCTCTTCACAAGTCCTCAGCTGGCTTTCTGTGCCCAATGTTTCTTTAAATTCTGCCAGATAAAGGTAATCCCGATTCTCTGTTTGTTCAAATACCTACCTGTTTAATCATCATCTCACTCATTGGGCATGAATTCTTATACTCCATCTTGTGTCATCTAAAACCTTGTCAACTACTATCTCTATTCTTTACTGTTGCCCTTCTGACTCAGGGAGAAATATGACTTTGATAGCTATCAGCTGAATAACACATGAAATTTAAACCCTGAACTTGTCATCGTGAACTAATCTGGCTCCACAATTTGATCTACATTTTCCATCTTGCCTTTTGCTTTACCTGCACACACATGCACAAACAGTGTTACACAGGTTAACTTTTCAATCATTAGATAAGCCCTGCACTTTTCCACTTTCATGCCATTGTTTATACCTTGCAATCTGTAATTTTTCTTTCTTACTGTATTTCTGATCTACTCCCATCTGCATCAGAGTCCACCTCACAATAGATCCTCTTGCCATCTCCAGATAGGACTTGTTTTGTTCTCTCCCATATTTTACATTTAAAAAAAATGTGTCACTGAAGAGAAATGAACATGAAAGCCTTTGGAAAGTAGATAATCAATATGATGATAATGAAGAGTAATCTGTATGGTAAATTTACTGCTATGTGCAGTGTTATCCTACAACTACTGAAATTGAACATTGAAGAGGCTTTGAAGATCATCTATCTGGCTACCCTTCCTATAGTTCACCAATAAAAGAAACTAAATCCCCAAGGATAAGCTCGCTATTAATTTTACCTTCAATTATTCCAGCTGAGACTAAAATCCATAATTTCTGACCTAGTCTATAGTGAGTGTCCCTTTTATTTTGAAAAACTGCCATTTGTTGTTTTTAATTGCTATTTTTCTTATGGGAAAAAAGAGAGAAGTGTTTTTCAATACATTGGATGTCAAAACGCTAAGCACCTTTTTTTTCTTAGCCTTAAAGTTTAAGTAGGTTTTGAAATACATGTAACAGCAAAAAATTGTGTATTAAAGAAATTTCATATTAAATGCTTCTGGAATACATACTTTATATTTAATCACAAGTCTTATGTTAACATTTTCATATCAATAATATATTATGGAAAGTGAAAAAACAATATAGCATGTATAGTGATATATTTGGTTGGAAAAGTAGACAGAGAAGAAACTTTCAAATCATTTAGAAAAGAAAAAATTATAAAAATAATTCCCTTATCTTACATAATATATCTTGACTCTAATCTTTTAACTAAATATATGTGTAGGCACATAATTGTTTCTATATAAAGTGAAATTTCATGAGCATAAAAATAGAAAAAAATGAGGGCTAAATCAGCTTGCAAATTTGTAGCAGTTACCCACCTTTGGAAGCCATGGTGTTGTGGAATAATTTTAACATTGGGCTTGTTTTTGGCATCTAATCATCCATAAACTTATATGGGCTTTATTGATTTTTTTTTTTAAGAATGCACCAAATGTATTTAATGCAGATTATTGGCAGTGAATCTAGAAGTACTGTAAATACAACTAACCAGAGCAAAGGACATTCAGTAATTGTTACTGGATAGATAATCTATACCCTATGTGAGATTCTTTGTTTTAAAAGGGAAATTAAATACTGAATAAAACAAATTCGATTTTTGTTGAGCATATTCTGAATGTACACTTCCCTATATTGTGTCATTCACCCCTTGATCTTGATCTTTTCTCATCTTTTTAAACAGCTTTTTATTAGTATATAATAGTTTTACAGGGGATTTCATTGTGGCATTTCCACATATGTATACAATGTATACAATGTATTGTATACAATAGTGGTTCAACTCCTCCACTATTCTCTTTTTCCCCTTCTTAAAATTACTTGGACGGGTTTCAATGTTCCATATTCATGCATCTATAAAAAATACATTGAACATTTTCATCCTCTTCATTTAACCTCCCCCTCCCATTAACACCTTCCCCTTAACATGACCTGTTTTGCATTCCTTTCCTTCATTGTTTACGTATCTAGTATCTAAAAGTAAGAGCTACCTAGTCAATGATTCTCTTGAACTTGGGGCATGCCTTTACTTTTAAATATTGAGAAGAAGTAGTTTTATTATGTTATTTGAAGAATATATGTTAATTTAATCAATATTATTTTAAAATTTTCTTTTAGGTTTTAAAGTTTCATTGTATATTAAATTTTACATAGTGAGGGGTTTCATCATGACATTTACAAACATGCACATATGTATGTTTACACTATTTATAAACAAAGTTTTAGAGATATTTTAGAGATTTATTAACACAAACAATTTTTCTTTTCTAAGGAGTCAATAATTGGGCTGGTGAAGAGGCTCAAGTGTTAGAATGCCTTCCTAGGAAGCATGAAGCCCTGTGTTCAAATCCCAGTACCACTATAAAAAGGAGTTAATAATTACCTCTCCCCCCTCTCATACTCCCACTCCTCCCTCTCCCCCCCACTTATTTGATTAGTTTTCTCTCTTTCTATAACCAATTCTCAAATTATCCTCAATCAATTTTGTCTTGAAAACTTGTGCTGTTCATGCATTTTTAAATCTTTTCATTGCTAATTATCCTTATCCCTTTTATGTTGTTATATATTTTGAAACCAGTGTTATTTAGATGTCAAACTTCCAAAACAGATCTTAGAATTATTGTTTTTTCTTTCTTTTTTTTTCTGTCCCACCTTCTTTTATTTTTTCCTCACATCTTTCATTCCTCATGGAACATATTTCAGACTTTTGTGGTGACTTGCCCCCCATTCTTTTAATTATTTAAATTTCACAGAGCACTAATTTTCTCAGCCATATCCTTATATTCTCTTCTTCCTATTTCATGAATTTAAACTTTCCTTTTCCTTATAAGGTCTTCCTGTCCCATCCTGCCCCACAATAAGTGTCTTAATGATATGAGATGGTTTATAGACATTTATTCAAGGATGGTGCCATACTGTCCCTCATTCTAAAACATAGCTTTCTTAAGGCCTTGCCTTGTTCCTTTAGTTAGCACAATCTCTCAATGGTCTGTATATTCTTGCCACTTCCAAATAATTTTTTTTTACCATTTTCTGCTACACTGCAAAATTTTGAAATGCTCATTCTCAACATTGTGGTAGGTATTATTTTTCTTCTGTACATTATTCTTATAAATTGAGGATGTGATAGGGGATGATCTCTAACATTTGCAAGTAAAGATATTTAAATCTTTTAGCCAACTTAAAATTTATTTTCATGAATTCAAAAAGACTCACTTACATGGTAACATCTTTAATATCTTTTTACCTCTTGTAAAAAATAGAATGCCATAATTAAGTTGGCTACTTTCTTTTTTTTATAATATACAGACTAATTTTATGTCTTATACATAGTCATATCTTAGAATTGGTGAAATATAACAACACTTAAATAACAGGAATAATCATTAGCCACAGCTATATGATCAAGGTCATTGCATAATTATGCCTCTTAGTTATCAGCGGCTTTGTTGATATTATAGATCCCAGACATCAAGATCCTCCAGGAAATTATACAAACTCAACCCAAACTCTCACTTCTGCACTTTTGTTTTTACAGCTGTGTCATTCTTCTCTGTTTATTTCAAAATGGCACCTGCAGCCTCTTCTATAAACTTCTAATGGTCTGTGAGTTATACAAGGAAATCCTCAAGCTGGTCACGTGTTCTACTTTACTGAGATCACTCACACAGAGCCAACACTCTCCATTCTCTCCTTGATTAGTTCAGTAATTACTTATCCTATGAAACTCCACCACAGATCTGAGCAAACCATTATAGTCTTATGAATAATGAATTTTGTATGGTATCTTCTTTCAGAAAAAGAATTCCTTATCATGTACCCCAGGGTCTGAGGATAGACCTTAAGAAGAGTTTTGTATTTGAATAGCAATCTGCAACTTCTGTACGCATATGTCTGGCCATCTTCACCAAATATCAATTTTATGGCCATATCACTTATTTTCCCATATCCATTCTGTGTTTAAACTCTAGACTCTGAATAACTATTTCAGCTCCTTCTTTCCTGTTAAATTAGAGCTTATATTTAAGGATCTAATGATACTGAGTTTGAACAAACAATACTTTTTCATATTTCCTAAGTATAAACAAATTCAATAGACTATATATCTGAAATCTATTATTTTTGTTAACTGAATAATTCATTGTCAATTTAGCTTGAGAAATGATTTCACAAAATAATTGCTTTGACAGAGGGTATGTTAGTACTTGTTTTCATCAGAAACTAAATTTTAGAGAATGTGCCTGAAACTAACATTGATCTTGTTCACCTGTAATCTTTTTTTTTTAACACCTCTTTTATTCTAGTTATGTTTCGCCTTTATGACACGGATGGGAATGGCTTCCTTGACAGCTCGGTAATTTTTTCCTTCAAATATTCTGTGTAAATTTCAAAATATTTGTTCTGAAAAGGCAACGAATAAATTTATAGCGATTACCACAGAAGGCACACAATGTAATTTATAACCACTCACACAACATTTTCATCATTTTTTGGAAGATAGTTGTGTGAGGAGACAAGTTTGTGATTATTCTATTATTGAATAGTTTTACTACAAAACGTGACTCTTTTTCCACACTACACTTAGATAAAAAAAGAAGACTTCAAACTTGTCTGAGTAAAACATTCAACAAAGTTGAGACCATTGATCTAGAAGCAATGAGTGAGATAAGGAAAATATTGAGAATATATAGAATCTAAAGATATCATGAAATCAATTAATTTTATTATTTACCCTCGTTTGAAAAGTATTTATAGTTACATATGCTGTTTAAATAAGTGAATATATTTACAGATTGATTTGACAAACTTCCTTTTAGAAGAACTCATGCAACTTTATATGCAGCTTGCCCTCAATAGTTTAAGTTAAAAAATAATGTAAGGAAATACCATTTCTAGGATTAACCAAAAAGCATAATCAAATGTTTATTTTATTTATAAAATATGGAAACCATTGATAACTTACAGAGAAATAGAAATCAGGCCCAGTTCCAACACACATATCAGCATATCATATGTTCTTCTATTTCAGGTTTCATCTAATAATCTTTTATATTTGCTAATAAAATATTTTGCATATTATATTATTTTTTATTTTATCAAGGAAAATAAGAATAGTGACAAGAATCTCACAGACTAAGAAAGTGTGCAGGCAAATTTGTAAATATTATGATGTATTTAACTACGACGGAAATACACACTATGTCCAGTCATTGGAGTTATTCCTGAGTTTCTCTGTCATCTAATGGACTTCCATATAGTACAGTCCAAACAGACTTTTAAAACAGAGCAATGACATTGGAGACACATTTATGAAACACTGAGTGGGATAATGGTATATTGGCTTCTCCAGACAGATATGAACAGTTACAATTTCTTCTCTAGTAAATGACCACCACTCTGAATTCTTGCTGTCATTGTGGGATTTCTTATTTTAAATTTCAGTAACTTTTCACATGCATTACTTTTAAGTGCCTACTAGTCTCTAGTTTTCCATGTAGGAATGTTAAGGTACACAATAAATTTGCTCATTTTCTGGTACCATTTCACAGTTATGAATTTAGATTTCCTGTAGGTGTTTCAATATGCTTATTGTAGCATTCATGACTACAGAAATGAAAATTACATATCAATGCAGGTTGTTTTATTAGATGTTTACTTTTAATTAAATTGAAAATAATGTTTCTTAGCTCGGCTTTTAGGCATGGATTGACAGCTGTTTTGAAAATTCAGTCAAATGTGTTTTTTTTTTTTTTTTTGGTTGATGGCCTTTTTGGGGGAACATATATAGTAGATTACTAGCAATATTTGTGATTTTATTGCCAGTATTGAACAGTGAGCTAAGAATAAATGTATATGTTTATGGTTAGACTTTTTTGGGTAATTAAATCTTGGATTTCATCCCTAGAATGTTTTTCTACACAATCTATTGTCTCACTATACTTCCTTCAGAATCTTTTCTAAATTGCGGCTTCTGAAGTCATCTTTCTTGATATTTTAAAGGTGTAGCAGTTCACCTTTTGGAGGCAAAAGAGTTAAAAATCAATAATTTGGAAAATGATTAATATATCTCATAATAAGGGTTAGTATTTATTGGTCACTTGCAATATACGAATAACAAGATAAATATATTTTAGATGATAGCATTGGAAATTTTCAAAGCACCTCTGAACTAGATAATGTTAGCATTTCTATTTTACAGTTGAGAAAACTGAGTTTGAAAGCATTTAATGACTTATCTAATGAACACATGCCCATGTAATAGACCATGAAAATAGGTTTTGTTCTTCAAAAAAATGTATGTTGTGACTTTAACCTTTCTAAGCTATTAATGTGTGCAGAAGCAACAATAGCATATATGAGAGATTACTAACACACACAATTTTAGCAAATTAAAAATTTTACCAGTTTCTAAGAAAGTCATTAATGTTTGTATTTTGGGACAACCTATCTTACATTGTTCCTGTATTCATAATTATATTTTTTCTGGGGAGGGATATAGTTTTCGTTAGTTTCGCAGAAGGAACCATGGCTTCCGTCAATCCAGTTCTTTTTTGCATATCTTCTTCTCCATCTGATGAACAGTGACTTCAAGTATTAGATTAAGAATTCTAGCAAAATAGTCTTTGATAAATATACTTTCAATTCTTATTCTTTGGATATTTCTTGCATTTTAAGTTATACTGTAAAAGTCCACTTTTAAAATTATATTTTCTCTACATTTAAAATTACAAACTTCTTCAAAGCCATTTTTGTTTAATCTTTTCTGGGGAGAGATAGGGGAAAATTAAAAGATTAAGTATATGTATGAAAAATATTTTCATTTACTTAACCAAGCTATATGTATTGACGAGCAGTTCTTCAAAGAGTGGACATTTGAGGAGCATAATATGAAAATTCAAACTAAAATTCTACCTTCTCCCAAAATAAACTCTACATATACTTAGCCTCCAAACCCTGACCCAGAACACACTCTTTGCAGAGTAAATTATCCCAGTAAATCACGAAGACAGTCAATATATATTCTGTGTATCAAAATCAAAATAAACCTTTCAGTTGCCCTCACACACTTCCTTCCACATCTGTTTTCAAGCCAAAGGGTCAGTGATTTAAAAAAAAAAAAATCACATCCTGTGAAAACATACAAGTGCTCTTACTTTCACCAGGCTCTCCTTCCCAGGAAAAGGAAACCTTTCTTGGAATAGTGCTGCCCTCTCCTGGTGAAGGTTTCTAGACAAAGTACAGGATGAATTTACATTTAAGCTCTGTATAGGCAATAAAATCTCTACATAGGATTTTCTATACATGTATATATAGTTATATAAAATTGATGATATGACTTATGTTGAACTCCAAGACTTAGATTAACAGGATCTTACTCATATTCTTTCCTTTTCCCCTCCTTCTCTCCCCCCTGCTTTTTCTCTTTCTTTTCTCCCTCCTTCTCCAGGAGCTAGAAAATATCATCAGTCAAATGATGCATGTTGCAGAATACCTTGAATGGGATGTCACAGAACTTAATCCAGTAGGTGTATGAATGATTTAACTGTTGATTACACTATAGAAGCCTCTTTCTTTTAAAAATCTTTTCTGGGACCCTAATTTAATACTATTGTTTGATTTTGTCCAAGTTACTATTTCAAATCAAACGTCAAAGTGGACTCTGAGTGAGAGTTTTCTAAAACTATTAGCAGTAATTTATAAGCATTCTATTTTCTTATTTTATTCTTATGAATAAGATTTATTTTGAATATAAATTTTAAAAATCCCCCCTTTATTCAGTTGCCTACTAAAACATACTTTTTTAGAATTTTGACTTTAGCCATTAAGTAATATTTTGGGGGAAGGTGATACATTTGATTTTAGTTTTATTTTCAGATAATTAAATTTAGCAAAGTGTCCATTAATAAAGCAAATGCAGATCAATTTTTTTAATGAGTTGCATTTGGTATGAATTCAAGAAATGTATTTGTATACTAGCGTTCACTTTTATATAGTTAGTGATACAGTAATGATTATGTGATAGCATTTCACTTTTTTTTTTTAAACCAAAGACAGTAAAATGTAAGCCCTGTGCAAAGGGGGTACCATTTCTACTGAGATTGGACTTTTACAGTTGTAATGCAACGTTTTTGTTTGTTCATTCGTTTTGTTGTGGAAATGTACCTGCTATGCTCATAGCAAGTGATAGCCATCATTAACAAATTGCAGTTTATTTATGGAATAATGAAGTAGATGGTGACATGTATTTAATTTGCTTCTTGAGTCACTTTAATACTCTACTTACTGAAATTAGATGGTTTCTTATAAGTTCTTTTGCCCTTTTTGGTTATGTTACTCTCCTATCCTACTCACCTTTCTACCTGTAAAGATTGGTCATCTCTCTATCAGTCCTGCTTGTTCCTGTGGCAGTAAGGGAAGGACAGTTTTATTTTTTCCTGTCAGTTTTAAAAGCAGAAATGGCACTACCACTTTCCAGCAAAATTATTTCTGTTGATTGGTTATGTAGGTTTGAGCAAAAGGAGATCCGAATGCTCTGAAGAAGGGAGAAGCTAGTTGCCAGATAGCCTAGCTATGACAAATACCTACAGGCGAATGCAACAGTACCCATAGCAGTATTTACTGTATGTGTTCCTGATAAATCTGCCTCTCCTCTGGATAATTTAACTGTAGGATGTCAACATAAAAGCCTTACCTTGAGCATTGTGTTTGCTCTGTGGTAACTGCCTCCTAGCACCTAAGACTTTGATGGCTCACACTTACACACTCCTGTTAAATCTGCAAAAGTAAAGAGAAGTGAACATTTGAGGTTGATTGCAACTAGTCAGCAGATTTAAATGTCTTTAGAAGGAGCTTTTATCAAACTCACCCAGCTTTACCATTGCATGTATTAGGTATAGAAATGAAAACACGGCCATCTGGAATAAATACTCTGTTTCAGAGTTCTCTTCTCATTTGTTTCTTTCTTCTAATTCATCAGCATGCTCTCAAGAGGCACAACATTTCAACTAGATCTCATGTTATTTTTTTCAAATTCCAAATACTTTCTATTATCTTTTACTTTGAGAATAATGAAATAATTATCACAACATCATTCTCTTCCCCCAAAAAGTCTCCTTTTTTCCAATACCTGTAGATTAGTATGTGCTATGAAGTAAAATAATATGATTTTCAAATATTTTCTCAAAAAGGATACCAGGAAACCAAACACAGGATTGTTTAAGCCAATCACACTTCCATCAACAAATGAAGTATTTCATTTATTGCACCTTTTCAAAATTTTGTTCTAATGCTCTCTGCATTTATTTCTTTTTGTCCAAAGTGTATAAATTTCTCATGCTCTCGAAAGGCAGTGAGTGCCTTTCGTCTTTGGAGTTCTTACTCTGTTTACCATTATAGTGTCCTTAGGTGGGAAAGAAGTACTTTGCCTTCTCGTAGCCAAGAGCAATATGGTTGGAACTTATGCATAATTTGCATAAGCAACACTAACATGACACCACATGTGCCAAGGAGGGCTTTTATTTATAATGCACTAAATCATTTAATCCTCACAATAACCTTTTGAAGTATCAGCATTATCACCATATTCCACAGAAGTAAATGTATTCCCTTTGCGTGCAAACTATCTTCAGAAAAGAAGTTGAATCAAATATGATTAGATCATTTTGCATTTTGGCTCTATTAAGTTTCTTATAGGCAATTAAAAGCAACTTAATTCCTTCACCCCTTACTACTTAGCAAAGAATTATTTGAGCTCTTTGCCATGAAGTTAATTTGTTCAGACATTTTCTGGCATATATATGAACCTAAAAAATAATCTTGGGAAAGTAATTAAAAACCACTTTCACTCTTAGATTAAAGTTACATTTTAGCTGTCCTGATCATTAGACAAATATTAAAAAGTTAAGCACTTATTTCTAAAAGTCGGTAAGTATAGGTGGTCAGGTTCTAGAAATCATAACAAAGTCAGTACTTTCTCAGTAACAGGATTAATGTAACAGTTACGAAGACATGTATCCCAACTTTTCACGTAGTTTAGTCACACTTTGTTATAAGCAGTTCAATGTAATGTGTTGTATTGGATAACGTTTATTTTATTTATTCTTTGTAAATTTTCCCTTGTCTGCTCTCCAGATCCTCCATGAAATGATGGAAGAAATAGACTATGACCATGATGGCACTGTCTCTCTGGAGGAGTGGATCCAAGGGGGAATGACAACAATCCCACTTCTTGTGCTCCTGGGCTTGGAAAATGTAAGGATTTATACTGACGAGTGCAGCCTGGTGATAAGTCAGTTCTCTATTGCAACTTTTGATTACAAATTGATCTGGTCATTTTCTACCATTAAGCATGTGTGAGACCTGAAAATTTTAGTAAATATGCCATAGTGCAATTTAACAGCAGCTCCTAGGTAGTAATACAAACATATTGATCCCTTTAAAGTAATACTTTGGGATTAAATATATGTATTTCTCTCTTTTGTTTTTCTTTAAAGTACAATCTAATTTTTAAAAATTATTGACCATTTTATATCATTTAATACAAGAAACTCCCCAATATAATTGTATTCTGTGGTTTTTGTGGTGCTCCATCCCATTTGATATGCCCCTTTCTATGAAGATAATCTATTTTATTGATAGCCAATAGTAGAAGGAGGAAATTATATATCTAAGGTAGAGAAGAGATACATATCTGCAAAAAGAAGTCTTCCTTATATAGCTGCAGATCAACTGGATTCTTATTCTAAATCTGTCAAAAGACTTCTTGTATCAGTTCCACCAGTTCCAACTGTATTGGCAATGAAATACTGGTTTTAAAGATTAAAATAGATTAGCCTAAAATAAGAGTGTGATATAATAATCACTTTGAAATCAAATCTCTCAAATCATCCTTGAAATGAATTTTAGCAATTGTTCATTTAAAAGTCTGATTGCATCAACAGTCATTACTAGATTTTTAAAATTTAACATTATTTGTGGAATAACAATCAAATATAACATGCATGTGGTTACATGTAAACACAGAGTCAAAGAAGATTAGGGATGGAAAGCTCCAAGGCACATGTAATATTTAAGGATGCAATAATATAGTCTCTACCACTTTGCAGCTAACCCCAAAACTTTTCATGCTTCTTGCTAGTAGTAAAACAAGTTTTTGTCTCTACCACAATTATTCAGCACACCAATTTTTTAGTCAGCTTTCAGATCCTCTTATGGTCTCTTTGAGAAGCATGTGAGTGTACATAAAATATGTTTGTGCATATGACATTAGGAAAATACATTGGGCTTACAGTTAAAAATAAATAAATGAGCTCCAGGAGATAAGCAATTGTGTCTTCTTTTAATCTATATTTTCTAATTGTTTTATTATCACTTTCTTTTTTTGATTACTAGAGCTTGAACTCAGGGCCTTGTGCTTATGAGGCAAATGCTCTACCACCAGTCCGTTTGCTTTTAATTTGTTTATCCAAGCATAACTTATCCAAGATAAATTCTTGGATTAACTTTACTATGGCTGGCCTGGAACCCTGATCACCCTACCTATATCTCACAAGTAGCTAGGATTATAGACGTGCACCAAGACACCCAGTCCTTCTATTGTCACTTCTGTCTCACCCTTCGTGAGAGCCACAGGATTGTAGCCATGGTAAAATTTTAAAATGTGATGGGCAAATTACCCTTAAATAATTTATTATAAAAATAATACAAGTAGATCTTATTATCCACAAACACAGATTTATACACTGTAAATTTAATAAACCAGGCATTGTGGTGCATATCTGTAATTCCCATACTCGTGAGACTGAGGCAGATTGAGGGTAAATCTGAGGCTAGCCAAGGCTACCTAGTAAGGTCTTGTCTCAAAATAAAGAAAAACACTTATAACTTAGGTTTTTATACTATACATAATCTAGGCTCTTTTTACAATAACCTATGTACCTTCATACTATATTCATTTAATTAATCAGCATATCTTATGAGTAAAGCATTATGCAAATCAAACTAATTGAAGTAAACAAAAGGGAAATTGGCAAAATGGCAGCATTTCAGTGTATACCTTAATTTGAAAAATAGTTGTTAGATTACTTCAATCAGAATGGTTCCCCAGAAGGGAATTTTGTAGTTTTAGAAGTTAAAGTTTTTACATTGTTAAGTATTTATTGAAATTATATTATAAATCAAGGAGAAAAGAGGCAGAAATGTACAAGTGAAATGTTTGGGAGTCTAGAATTAGGGTCATAGTTGAGTGGTAGAGCACTTGTCTAGTGTAACTGAGGCTCTGGGCTTGAGCCACAGCACGGGAGAAAATTAGAAAAAGAAAAAAAAAAAAACCAGCACAGTACAAAAAGACAGATTTAGACACCTGTGTTTTAAATACCAAAAAGTTTTTTGAAATGGTATCTTTCTTCAGATATTATTGTTTAGAAATTCTTGAAATTTAAATGTTAAATAGGTTCTTATAAAATTTCAAAAACATCATGGTTAGAGTTGAGTGTGATGGTTCATACCTGTAATTCCAGAACTTGGGAGACTGAGGCAGTAGGATCCTGAATTCCAGGCCAGCCTGGGCTATGTATAGAGGCCCTATCTCAAAAAACAAAAACAAAAATATAGCATATACACAAATCTGTATGGGTTTCAATAGTATTCTAAACAATTATGATACTGCATTAGTTTCTGATGTAGCCTAAGTTTAATTGGATGGAAATTCTTAAGAATAATTTGTAATTTTAAGTTAATAAAAATTTTGTGGTTAATACAAACGGATTGTTTGGAGCTTAACAGGAAAAATCAATTTAGGATTTCATAATAGTAATGAGAGATATGATCCAGAGCTGTGTTTCCAGTTGTGGCCACAAGATGGCAGGGCTACATTGGTTAAAATGAAGAGGGCAACTTAAATGAAGACTGGATATTTTTCCTCTGTTAAAAACAATTGTAAAAGAAGAAATTTCTCTGCCCTTTCATAATATTTAAAAAATAAAGAAACCATGTTTTAAATTTAATTTTATTAATGATGCATAATCACTGTAATTATGTGTAATGGTCTTAAAACCGAGCATGTTAGAAATAGCTTTTTAAATCTGAGGCATGGTGTTTTTTAAAAGCAGAATAACACGAAGACAATTGAGTGATGAAAACTTTTTTTTTTTTTAGAAATTGGGATTTATTTCCTTACCGTAGGCAGTTACTGTGCTATATTATTGCCTGTGGAGAATTTGATCCATGTTTTCATTCCCCCTCATCCTTGCTTTTTGCTTATTAAATTGAAAAATCTAGATGCTTCACCTTGAAAGTGGTCATTTATTGTGAAGCCTGCCTTGTTATCTTGTCCTATATATTCTTGTCTATTGTCAATTATGAGCTTGGGGAATAGATTCTAATTGATAGTGCATGTTAAATAGCACAGTGTATTTGAGAGCAGCTCAAGTTGAACCAGCCAAATTACACAGACAAGAGTGGTGTCCTGGGAAGGCCAGATGCCCTTCCAATGTAGACACTCAGTGATGAGTTCATTGTCGTTTTTTTTTCTCATCAAAATAATTTTAAAAGCTTCTCTGTTTTAAATATTATCTATTTTGTGCCAAAATCAGAAATGCAATTTTTCAGAACCTGATTCTACATGAAATTAGTAAGGAGCAAGAGTCATTTTTTTCTCATCAAAGACTGTCTGCAAACTTAACAAAACCCAAGATAAAATGGGCAGAAATAGACAAAGTCCTGTTTCTTACCTGGGAAGGAAAACTGAGTGTTTGAGTTTCTTTGTGATTTCAGTGACCAAAATAAAAAATTTATACTACAGACTTATTCATTCTTTTTTTAGCATTCATCTTATTGAATTTTTTTTTAAATTTCATTGATTGACAATTTTTTTCTTTGTTAATAGCTGTGTCTTCTTTGTGATTGGAAACTGACTATAAAGGAACAGATATTAAATAATTTAGTCTTTGGGACCATAAGGCATCTATCACAACTCTGCTGTTGTGCACAAAGAAATCATAGACACTGTATAAATGAACCAGGACAGCTGTGTTCCAATGGAAGATCATTTACAAAAAAAGGTTGCTGGACAGATGTGACCCAGGGCCACAGTTGTTGCCAGCTGCTGATCTATCCTGTCACTAATTTGTCATATTATAAACAGAAAGTTTTCATTTATTTTTAGTCATTTAAGAAAAATGAATCTAATACCTCTTAGCACAATGGGACACCAGATCAAGACGAGGAGAGCTCACTAACGGAGAGTCAGCACAGAGCAATGGACTCTAATGGTTTGCTCTTCACTCTGGTTCTTTCATTACCTGACTAGGGCATTTGTGCTAGGCAGTTACTCTCTAGGAAAATGAACAGCAAGTTAGTTATAAACGTGTAACTAACCATTTTCCCAGGTGAAGAAGATGTTTAGTAACGCTTCAGTTCTGAAGTCTGTAATATTGCACGTTCACTAAATTTTACGGGGAAAATTCCCAGGTTCCTATTATCATAAAATCAGGAATACTCCTGTAAACAGTCCCCTTGTTTGAAATAAAGAACCTTCACTTCTTGATTGTGGATTGTTGTGCAGACGTCCAGCTTCTATCAGTTTTGAATGGAATAATATATTCATTTCAAATATATGTGTTCAGTGAGTGCAAATCTTAGTCCTTATATGCAATATAAACTTTGTCTATGATTGAGATGGTCTAGGACACTTTTTTTTTTCTTGACCCAATAAAGAGAACTGCAATGTGTTCTCTGATGAGATTCCTAAGTGGTAAAGAGTAGAAGATCACATTTTTTTAATAAACTAAATTTTCTTTAGAAATGTTTCACATTCCATTATTAAAATATTAGTTTTTGATTAAGAGTTTTTGCTCTTCTGGACACAAGGCTTAATATAAAAAGGTGTTATAAAAGCCAAGAAATGAGACAATTCTTGAGCTTCCATTCAAAGACGATTACTGTGTGAAGTTATTTGCTGGAGAATTTGCATTTGAGTCCTAGGCATGGAAGGGTCCCAGCCAGACCTGAGAAAATATGGTCTGAAATTAGCAATTGATTATAACAGCACCCATAATTTTAATACTTTTCCTGTTATTCTCTTTGCCTAGGCCTAATACAGCTCATCTTTCTGTCTTAAAGAACAGTTTATTTTATACTGATGTAATATTTTGGAGGCCTTCAACAACAAAGAAAAATGCAATGCAGTTTAATGGTCCTTATTATTTAGTGAGTTGGAACAAATCTGTAATATTAGCTCTTCTGTGCTGCAAATTAACTCAGCTCATCATGATGGTTCAAGGTAGGGGCGTTGGGGATGGGCTGTCAGTGACATTTCTCTTTGACGATTTTTGCAAAAAAGAAGAAAATGTTACTTCTAGTAGACCTAGTTCACTTGATTATTATCTGTTTTATTGGAAATATTTAGGGACAAACTAAAACTTTAGGAATCTCTAGGATAATGAGAAAGGTGTTAAAAAGTACCCCAGGGAATTCTTTGCTTTGAGAATGGAAAGAAAAATGTTTCTGGGAAATTGAGAGTTGAGGGATAATATGAATCTCCTTCTTGTGCAGTAACCTGGGATTCATGGAACACTTCTCTTGGTCATAGGCACAGAGCTGAGCCTCTTCATTGTAACATATAATGTTATCCCTTGTAATGAAAAGAAAAAAAGAGCATTTTTAAAAACGAAATAAAACACAGCAAACCTACAAATCCCCTTCTCAACTCTTTTGGCTTAAATGCTGGAATGTTACACAACTCAACCCAATGATGGTAATAATATTTGCTGTTTATATAACACCAGTCTTCAAGAAGGTAAATTAACTTCACAGGTATTGTATAATGAAACCCACACCACGTCCTGGGAAAGGAAAGTGGGTACTTTCATTTTATTGGAGAGGAAATTGGGAAAAAAGGTGAAACAGCTTGTTCACATCTCCATAGTAGGCCAAGAATCAAGCTTTCTGGATCTCCCATCCATTTCTTTCTTTCTTTTTTAAAATAAATATGAATTTCTTTCTTGGTAATAAATATTTATTTGTAATAGAATTACTAACAGGAATTTGCTTTACTGCCTGATAGAATATAGAAATGGACATATTCTCCCTTTCCCCACTAAGCTGACAAGCTAAATAAGAGAAACAAGACAAGACATGAAAATACAGAGAGTTGGAGTATAATTTGCACTGCTGAGAAGTAGTTGGCTCCTAGTTTCAATTTCTTCTCTTAAAGAAGTCACATACATATTTCATCCCTTGCATATTCTGGCATTGCATCCGGCTAAGAGCTATCAAGCTATTTAATTTGTTTTTTGGTAAAGCATTTGATGCCTGGGTAATGGATTTGTACATCAGTTGCAGCCTGTAACATGGCTAAGTGTTCTGATTGACAGAACACCCACGTTCAGACTTGTTTGTTTTTTGATAAGGAAAATGCCAGCTAACTTAGTCCATATGTGCTCTCCACCAGGATGAGGCTTGTTCACATGTAATGGACACTCATTTAAAAATAAAATGACAAGGATTACAAAAACAGCAATACATATAAAAATTAGAATTTTTCCGACGAAAATTTTACTTGTTTTTGAGCACTTACATGCTACTTTTAAAGTTTGTCAGCTTAGTTAAAAAATTAATCACCTTATATTTAAACTTTTTACATCAGAATGTTTAATTTTTAAGACAATAACAATTAAAAAGTATCAATAGGTTGCAAAATGTAGCAAAGTAAGACATAATGTGTCCTATTCCCATGGTATATCTACCAGAAATCTTAAGAGTCATTTAAATCAGAACTAGATCCACAAATTACTACAAAGTCTATTTTTTTAAATTTTGGAAGATAATTGAAAGAACTGTGTCATCTGAAGTTGTCTCCATGACCCTTTCTGCATTGCTGTTTTTGTTCATAGCTTTAGTCTCTTTTCAGAATGGTACATATGAGCATTGTAGAGAACCATGAAAGGTCTGAGATTGTCCCTACTGGCAGGTCACTGTGTCAGCTCCCCATGCTGCCCTGGATGCTGGCAGAGGACATGAGATTCCTGGGTCAGAGACGATGGGCTTTAATGCTTTCATGAAAGCTAGCAGTAAAACCTTGGTTTTCAGAGAGTTTGCCTTTCTGCCCATCTCTTGGGGTGACCTGTGGCTCAAGTAATTGTAGTGTACAGCATCAGTGTTTGGAATCCTTGTTTTAGGGAAACTAAATTTCTTATAATATGCCATATAGAAATGTGCTTAACCTTTGTTTAGAAGCAAGAGACTATCTTTACTAGTGTGTACAGTAAGTCAGACTGCCCTCTCCTCTGGAGACATATCTCTATTTTCTGAGGATGTTTATTATTTAAGTATCTTTGAAAAGATTGCCTGGAAAAAAAGGAGATAATGATTCTGCTTGTAAATCATGAAAAATTTCAAGAGAACCATGGAGAATTACCTCCCAGGAAGGATTTTTATTAATGATTCATATTATGATGCAAATCTGACATTTCTGGTTGTAAGGTAACAATCAGTTACTATAGATTTTCTCTAATATTGTAAATCTGGTGAGTTATCTCTTGACTAGCAATACGAATGAACGGTTAGCATTCATACCAATGAATGATGCCTGAAATTAAGTTTTATATGAATAGGTAAGTAGAGAGCAAAGGGTACATATTAATGAAAAAAATGAAGAAATGATATATAATAACTTCATTAATGTTTTGACCTTCTGGTAGGGAGTTCAAGATTAATTAGCCTCTTATTATTTCCTTTTCTTTTAATCTTGAACAATGCAGATGTGATTAACCATTAGAAAAGCAGTTATACTATTATATAGTTTTACTTAGAATAGTAAACAATAGCTTAGAATAGTAAAAAATAGAATTTTTGGTAACAATTGTGAATTAATATAAGCTTTAAGGTTTCCTTGTGGCAAGTAACTATAGTTATAATACTACAGTTTTAATATTTTTGTCATTTTTCTATGAGAATAAAATCATTCATATTTTGCAAGAGAAATTAACAAAATGGCAATCTAATTAGGCCCTGGAAATATTTATCTATGAAAATTTGTTGCTTGAGGCAGAATACATCATTGTAATTTATGACATGTTAGGAATATCCAAATGAAGCCCTAGAATATCCCCCTATCTTACTCTTAAATATTGCTTTCCCCATCCAGTTCCATCCCTCCACCTTCTTAGAAAACCAACCACCATCCTGAACTTTGCATATTTCCTCTACCAAGCTAGAGTTAACAATGTCTTTGCAAGTTTTCATTTCCCAGGCTCTTATACTCCAGAGTATTTCTCTTTCTTTATTCATTTGTTTATGGAATTTTGCTAAGTACAAAGTCTTTGAGGGTGAGGTACACATGTCCCTGTTCTTAAGGAGTGCTCTGCTTGGCAGGTCATTATGGTGTTTGGGGGTGAGCTGTTGAACTGTTGACATTAGACAAGAATTTGTGAGTTGCCATAGCATCCGAGAATTGTTAGCAGTATCTCCTTCCACTAGAACACATGTGTTTTTCTGAAGACGCTGTGGCGATCTTGGAGAAAGTCAGAGATGAAATAACAGATTGTCTTCATAATGCTTCAGTCCAGCTCTGAATTTTATTGGCACTTACATCTACTGTTGATTTCATTAAGCGAAATCTGTTTCTCTTGCGTCCCGTGCAGAATGTGAAGGATGACGGACAGCATGTGTGGCGGCTCAAGCACTTTAATAAACCTGCCTACTGCAATCTTTGCCTAAACATGCTGATTGGCGTGGGGAAGCAGGGCCTCTGCTGCTCCTGTGAGTACCTATGCTTGGTCTGGGAGAAGAAGTGCTGTTCTCATCAATAGAGACGTAAATGAAGGCTTAGGAAATGTTCCAGACACTCCCTGTTCCTATGAGTTATGTTTCTGATTGACTGTGTCACCCTAACTTTATGTTTCTCTAAGTTTAGGGAAGTCTTTTCTTTAAAAAAAAAATTCAGTTTATTTTTCAATTCTTTAGCCATTTTCTTTCCGCTGTAGTTTAATTTATTTACAATTCCCATTTCTTCATGGATTACTTTGAAATTTTCATTGTAAATTTCTCATATTTTATCTTATTTCTCATATTTATATCTTATCTATATTGATAGTATACCCCCCCAAACTTAGCCACTGAATTCATGTGAACTTAATTATCCTGAATCAATTCCTTCAAGATTTTAAAAAAACTTTTAGGAATTGATTAAAAATAGATTTGCATTCAAATTAAGACTTTTATAGTTCCAGCTTATTATTATTTAAAATGCTATCCAAAAAAAAAATCTTCATATGTGTGTATGGAGGTTGGAACCCAAAACATTACTCCCCCATGAATTATGTCTATTGTATTAATTTCAGTTCACTTCTTTTTGCAAGTTCTATTGAGTCAGTACTGCCAATTAGAATATTCTAAAAATGTATCTAACAATTTATGAAATCACTTAAGTATTTTTAATCCTATAACATATCTACCTGAAAAAAATTTATATTCCCTGAGTTTCCTGCTAAACAGGTACCATCCTCTCTTCACTAAGCCTGAGGTTCTCTCAGCAATCTACCCACGCACTTTTATGTTTTAGATAAAGTTTCTAAAACTGTCAGGTTTATTAAACATAGCCCACTTTTGTGCATTTAACTAAATCTATCTCATTAAAGTGTGACTTCCATATAACACAGATTTTCAGAGTTTAATTTTCATCTTACAGCTTTTTTAGTAGTATGTGGGAATTTACTTTCTCTCACATGTAATATTTGACATTAAAACTGTGTTTTAGTGCCACATGTGCATATAATTTTTTAAGTGTTTAAGGATTTTAATAAAATCACATGAAATTTGTCACATATCACATAAGAGGAAAGTTGCTCACAACAATATTTGACAGGCTAGTTACACTGGAATGTACTCCGTACACTAGGAAGTGCCTTGTATCTGAAGTTCTATGATTTTCTTTTTTAGGGAAGGGAATATTTTCTGATAGATTTTATTGATAGGACCTTATAAAAATAACTCAGTTAAGGTGAGATATTATATGAAGATTAAGAATTTTGTTATAACTTTCACTGAGTAGTGGGGTGAATGCAATATTCTGAACATCATTGCTAATATAGAAGAGCTGAAAATGTATATTTTCCTCTTCAGTTTTTCAAAAAACTTCACAGATATGACTATTTTGAAGAATTTTACTACATGAACAATATGCAGATTTAATGTTTTCATTCATATTTCTGAAAGTGGTTAGTTTCCCTTTCTGTTTTTATGGAGAGGACTATTTAGTTTTTAAATATTAAATCTTTATCCTATATATTTATGAATTTAGAACTAGTAACTTGGAACCAGCACCTTATTAAAAGAACACCTTTATGACCCTAATTATATTCAGACTCAAACTATAAAAAATGGGAAGATACCAAAAATCGTACGTGTTTTTTGTATGGCAGAGATTATATGTAGACACACTTATGTAGATTTGCTTATCAATCTAAATCCACATATAAACATAAATTCTTATGTATACTATATGTTGCCTAGTAATGGTTGTTGTTTTGGGCAAACAATGTCATGGTGAAAAATGAAGGATGAGCTTTTACTGATGGTCTGGCATGTACGATGAAATCTATTTGCTAGAAATAGACTAACCAGACATTTAAGGTTTAGATAAATCAATAGACAAAATATCATGAACTTGTAAGCCTTTACTCCCATGCCTTCCTGTTGCTGTCATGCCTATACTTTGCAAAATATAGATCTGTTCCTTCTAGCAAATGACACCAAACCATTTGGCAGTCATCAATTTGTCTTTAGTATTTTTGTCATCTGGGAATTATTGTGAAAAATTTGAGTGAGGACTGATTTAATTAAGCATTTCCTGCTATGCCATGATAGAGGAGTCTTGGTTTTTCACATGCATAATATTTCCTGTACTAATTGGTCTTTTGTATTCCATGGTAAAAACAGTCGACTTAAATTTTTCCTTGATGTGGCTGATTGGATTGATTAAGGAGCAGTGGATATGAAATGAGGTTCTGTTAATGTCATTCTTTCCCTATAAAATTGCAATCAGGACCAGGATTAGCTCTGAATTTGTGTACCTGTTTCCTTTCAGTCTGTAAGTACACAGTCCATGAACGCTGTGTGGCTAGAGCGCCTCCCTCTTGCATCAAGACCTATGTGAAGTCCAAAAAGAACACTGATGTAAGTTTGTGACCATGCTTGCTTTCTGAGGGTGAGATTATGGATGCCTCCTCTTACCACAGTGCTGTTGTTCTGTTCTAGGTCATGCACCATTACTGGGTTGAAGGCAACTGCCCAACAAAGTGTGATAAGTGCCACAAAACAGTTAAATGTTACCAGGGGCTGACAGGACTGCACTGTGTTTGGTGTCAGATCACAGTGAGTAACATGTGCAAACTAATGCATTCTCAATAGATACTGTGTATCCCATACTGTCTTATAGACCTACCCAGGAAAGGCTTCCCAGACATTAAAATGGATAATACAGATCCATCAAAGCTTCCTGTTTTATCTGGCTTTCCAAGTGATAGGATGCAGGTCAGATTTGTTCTCACTGAATCCAGAATTGTAGAACTGACAATGTTCTTAGGGATGAAACCATCATACTGTTTTCAAACGGTATCCCACGGAGCTTGAGAGGTTCCCAGGAAGGCAGTAAAAGGCTATAGCTGAAAGAAAGTAAGTAAAAGAGGTTCATATTTTAGGTCTTAATGCTTCTAAGGACTCATTCAACCCTTCTTCCTAACATGTCACTTGCGCCTTCAATTAGGGGTAAGAGATTTCACCATAAAAATGCTAATTATTACTAGTATTGACAATGAAGAAATATATTTGTCTTCTCCACCAGATTCAGATGTTTATCAAAACAGCTTCAAATAAATTTTAGAATAAATGAGGTTGTTAGGTGGTACGTTCAATATTTTATGTTTAATTTTTGGACATTAATTATTGTGCAGATTTTATAGAACAGCTATTTTCAATAATTTAGGACACAACCATATATGGGATTGGAGATTTTTTTGTTATTCTTTTACCAGGAGTGTGAGTACTCCCATTCTAGGACTAATGTTCTTGATTTTGTCAGAATAAACCAGCAGGGGGCAGTGAATCAGTGAAGCAAATCAGTTTCTCTGTAATACCTCAATGTTCCACTCCCAGCCCACAAGTGAAATGATATAATTCACACACACATACACACACAAAACTTAATGAGAAAAACAACTGACTTACATTTCAAAAATGCAATTAAGAACTTTTTAAAGGATGAATATACTTCTTCAATCATATTCAGCTATTACTCAGTTAAACTACATTTGCATTTTGAAATTTTCTCAATTGTGAAAGAGTTTCAGTTTTGGAAGTGTTTAGTTATTATAATAAAATGTTTAACAATGATTTAAATTACACACATGATTTACTCAAACATGAATTCTCAGTTTTAAGAAGACCATGACAACTTCACTTTTAAAAAAAATTTGCATATCAAAAAGTAGATATTTTGCCAAATATCTACAAAGTGTGTCATTTTGTTTCTAGATTTTCCAGGAAGCCTATCTTCTCATTTTTGCTATATAGTTCATCTTTCACTAACTATATCTTCATTTTAATATAAACTGAGATTAAAGTATATCAGAACTCATTTCAAACTATTTTCCTATTTCTTACAAACTTCAAATGTCCTAGGTTGTCCTAGGTTTATAATTTTTTATACATTTTTTATATCTTAAAATAATGTTCATCAATGAATATTGTCTGAACACTAAAATTTGCATTGGTGTCCCTCTTAACACAAAAGTTCATAGAGCTGTTAGACTTTCACTATTTGAGTCTTCTCCCTCTTCCCCCATTGAGTCTCCTTGAACTTGTTTCCTTCCCTTTCCATTCTATGGGGATCACTCCTCAAAATTACTATTACTAATAGCCTCTTACTGTTACTCAAACATTTTTAAATTCCTTCTTTCTTTTTTTTTTAATATTCCAATTTATTTACCTCATTTTCCTTGTTTTGTCTTAATGGTTCCTCTTATTTGTGGCTCTGGAATCTACCTCTAGGCTTACCAATCACCTTTTGCACATTTATCTTTAGTCTTGATGCTGGACTTCCCCGTACAAGAAATGAGATACATCCTTTTACAAGAAAGAAGGTGTTATTCAGGATAAATTCTTCATACAATATGCCCCTGACATTTCTCTTATACAAAGCTCAAGGAATATATGAAGATGGTTCTATTTCTCATTATGGAAAAGCACATCAGAAATGGAAAGTATCTGTAAATCCCTGAGCTCTAAATCAATCAACTAACTAGTCAGTCAACTTCCAAGTTCCATTCAAGAAGAAAGATTAAGCAGGGGCTCTGAAGGGGTTGAGGAAGATGCAGGAAAAACAAAGCAAAAAACTCTTCTCTTACCAAGCTTTCCCAAGTCCTGAGGCTTTTAGAAAACCTCAGCCTTATTTGCCAAAAAGGCATTCCAAGTATTTTGTTTTGATAAAACAAAACACTTGTTTGATAACAAGTCTTGCACAATTTAAAAAAGTTATCATATATCCAGAATAATATAGTCTTTCTTCAAAAGAGACTTAAGATTCTGTGTAGTTTTATTATTTTTAGCATTTTATAGGGACACACATTAATCTACTGATTTTGTAACTGGCTGACACAATATATTTCCTTGATAATATTTATGTGTTTAGTAGTATTTATAGTTTTTTCTTGAACCATTGTATGAAATTTTAGTATAAAGCTGATCTGCTCTTGGCAAATGGCTACTTCCATAGAACTGTCTTACTCATACTCTACAGAAAGTGCTATGAGTATACAAAGAGCTACAGAACAGTGACAATGATGGGATTTGTTGCTGCAAATGTTGAATTTTAGGAGATTTTACCTGAATGCATTCTGCGAGGAATTGATTGCAGAGAGAAACAGATGATGAAGCTTAGCTTCATATCAAAGTTTTTCAAAAGACCATTACTTCTTTTTTGCACAAGAGTTTTGAAAATGTTTTATGTTAAGTCAAGACATCCAGACTCTTAAGATAGTCTCTGTCACAATTTGTGCTAATTTGAGCCATGGGTGTAACCAGTTAGGAATTTTCTAATTTATAAAATGGAATTAATGTTACCAATTTTATATTATTGTTATGAGAATTAGGTGGGTAAAAAATCTGTGTAGATGTGTTTAGGAAAGGACCATATATATATGTATATATATAAAGTAAGTATATAGTAAGTGCTTAGTACATAACAGCTATGGGGTAAGAGATGAAATGTCATATGGGTGCCCAAAACTAACCTGGTGTCCAAGGGGTGCTCAATAGATGCTGCTCTTCCATTTCTGTCTTACCTCTGAAAGCCCAAGTTAAGTCAGATCAACACCTGAATATACTAAAAGGATCTGGAATTATGTGGCATTGAGTCTCACTAAAGTTTAAGCCAACACGATCAATTCATAATCACAAAGAAGAACTGCTTCAACTTTCTCATTCTATCACTAATGGTAGATGCTTCTGCCATCATGCTTCCAGGCATTGGAAATTAACCCCTGACTCTCAAAATAGAGTTAGAAGTCTATTTCCTCTACTTTTGTCTTTCACCTTTATATCTTATTTATACAATCTCCAAGCCTTGACATTTCCTCTTTAAAATTTCCCTCTCAGATCTGAGTTTTTGTCTTCATGTTCACAACCCTAATGCAAGCTCTTAGCACCTCCTGACTAGATTAGAGTCAGACTCTTTTGGCTTATTTCCCTGACAGAAGGTACTTTTCCTATAGTGTAGGCTGCATACCACCTCCAAAAAAAACCTTCTGAAAATACTAATTTGTTATCATATGCCTTCTTTAGCAACCTATAATAGTCTGTAATGACAAAAGCAGCCCTGTAAACCCTCTATCACACCCTCTGTCACAACTTGGTTTTCCATTCCTCAAAACTCAGTCTGAAACCTAAGCACACATCCACCTATGTTCCTTCCAGCCTCTCTCCCTTGGTATGGCTGTGCAAGTCTGGTGTCAATCCGTTGGGAAGGCTATATTTTCCCCTGCCTGCTATTTAACTTATCTCATTCCCTTGAATGATCTGCCTTAAGTTCTACCATATTCCAAGAACCAAGTTAAGTTCTCTAAATTTCTTGAAAATTTCCTTGATGCTAGTATTTAATTTTTCTAAGTACCTTTTATCCTTTTACCCTATACCAAAAACAACAACTGAATTTTTCTCCAGTGTCTTAATATCTGCATGCTAACTTGTCTACAGTATTAAGTAGATGACTGTCCACTTTAGCTTCAGGTCTATGGCACACATTTCTTCCTCATAACCTGAAGTTCTTGGCAGAGTGCTGGGTTCAGAAATCCTCAATAATTTCATTTTAGTGACTGATATGGCATTATTTTTACTATTAAATGTTTAATTACAAATACATGTCCTTTGTAAACTTTCTTTCAAGATATCATCCTGAATTACTAATCACAGATCACAGAGGCAACAAGGTTTTAAAAGTATTTTTTTTAAATCTATTTTCACACTTATTTTTCTGATAGGGCTTGTGGTGTCTTGATAACGGCATTACAATAATCTGCCATTTTGTAGTTATATAAATAAGTTCTTAGAATGAAACTTTATCTCTTTTTGTAAATCTAACGCTTAAAAAATGCAAACAGGGAAAGTCTGGGTAAGAACAGTGGTAAACTCTCTTCTGCCATTTTTCTGTTCTTTCCATTTCAATCCTTTGAGCCAGATCAAATATTCACTTTATTCTCTTCAGCTCTCCTTTACCTTCTCTGTCCTTCACCCCCCAGGGCTTCTGCCTGGTCATTGAGTGAATTTCCTCCACAGTTTATTTAGATTATGTTGTGCATTGTTACCAGCTGAGATAAATGATCCTTGATTGGGTGGGTTAATACATTTTATTTGATCTTAATAGAAGAATGCCTATTTTATAGGTATGAATTTTTAACTTTTCATATCACATAAGGATGCTGTTTTCCTGAAAATATTAAACCACATGCTTAAAATTTCCAAAACCTCTATGCTTTAGCAAATGCTAGCATTGAGTATGTACCTGATTAAGAAAATATTAGGGCCAAAGGATTATTGACTAGCAAACATGCTTTCTTTCTCTGAATGATTTATTTTCTCTTCTTGTTCATCTCTCAATTCGAACAACATTTATTTTTTATTTTCCCTGACAGTAGCTACCGTTTTCTTCACTGAAGAGTACACTCACTCTTTTCTCAACTCTACCTCCTACACTTGCACACACACACACATGTTCTTTTTCTTCCAAGTTTCAGACAGATTTTTCCAATACACATAGATCTGATTCTAAATTAGGTGCTACTGGGAGCTGTCATAAACTCTGAAATTATTTCCAAGTGTTTAATCACTTCCAGGAAAAACTGGTTCTCATTATATGGTTTTCCTAGATATGGAACTGAGTCTGTTAACGTGAATGAGAATTTCTGGACATTCAAAAATAATGATCTGAGTTTGTCTTTTAAAACTACAAAGAAAATTGTAAGCAACATTTTTTTAAAAGATTTTGAAATCCAGATAGGGTTTACTTTTCTCTAGTACACCATTTGTTATTTTAGTTAAGCCAGGAACCATCCATGATCTGATTTATTTTTATTCTTTTTTTAATTCATTCATTCATATGTCTATACGTTGTTTAGGCCATTTCTCTCCCCTGCCCCCCACCCCCACCTCTTCCCCACCTCACTTCCAGGCAGAACCTGTTCTGCCCTCTTCTCCAATTTTGTTGAAGAGAAGACATAAGCAATAATAAGAAAGACATAGTGTTTTTGCTAGTTTGAGATATGGATAGGTAAGGAATTTGTGTCTGGGCTTTTGCTGATTTGGGGTGTAGGTTATCTTGAAGACAATTATCAGTCTTCAGCATTTTATTGACACTGCAAATACTTACTGTGTCTTTTTCATATATGATGACATGATAAGAAGTTGTCTTAATCCATTTTTGTTGTTATAATGCAATACCACAGATTGGGTAATTTTTAACAAAGATTTTTTTTTATATCCTAGAATCTGAGAGTTCTCATGTTGAGGGAACACATCTGGTAAAGGCCTTCATGCTTTGTTGTAACATGGCAGAAGGCATTCCATGGGAAGACAGAGGATGTTTTCAAGCTTGGTTCCAACTTCCTCTTCTTTTAAGGTTACTCATCCCATTATGGAGGGCCCTCACTCATGACCTCATCTACTCTCCATTATTCATCGAAGACCCCACCTCCAAATGACATCCAAATATAAATTTGGGGATTAATTTTCTCACACCTGAAATTTGAAGAACATATTCAAGCCATAACACCAACTTAGGCAACTTGTTACTGTTCAAGATATTCACTGTGTTTTCCTTTTTTACATTTTTATTAAAAAATAATCTATTTTCTGAAAAATATCCACAGTCTAAGGGTAGTGCTCAATGGTTTTGCACAAACGAGCTCTCCAGGTCTGTAGCACCTGATCAGAAAACAAAATATTACCAGTAATCTAAAGAAGAATTATTTGTGTTTGGAATTCTACAATTTCCATTGTGTTGATAATTGCTTTTTAAATAAGTTTTATAGTTTAAAACAGTCTTAGGTTCACAACAGCAATGAAGTCCACTTTTATGCTTGATACAAATTCTTGGCATACACGTATTTTCTCATTGGCTTTCAGATTTGAGATTTTGTTTGGAAGTGTCTCTGAGTAATGTGATAGATTAACTATATGTGCAAACTTGACTTGCAGTTTATGTAATGATTATTATTTTAGCATGATGCCTTCTGCTTTGACTCTTCCAGTTACAATGCTCTGAGATGAATGGCCATTCAAACATATTTACTAAATACTAGATTCTAGACTTAATGGAAGCATAAAGTATTCCTGCATAGTATTAGTTATTACAATCTGTTGTTTAGTAGAATTTATTTTCACTGTGTGTACCTGTTTCACTGGAGATAAAGTAGTCACTGTTCTTACAAACCTTTCTATATGCTAGCACTTCCATAGGTCTGTACTACAGGTTCACAGACAAAACTCAAGGATATGGGCCATGCTGATAATCAAACTGGAAATTTCCATACTGACTTTATTTAGCCCTACAAGGGCCAGTATTTCATTATCAACTCCTGAACTATGACACCCTCAAACCTTAGCACAAGAGTTCTACATATCCAGTCAATGCTTATCACCTTATTAACTGAGTACTAAGTTATTTACATGTGTGCTTAAAGCCAAAAGCGTTGTCATTGAATTTACCTATTATTCATGTTAGAAATGCATGGATGGAGGCATGGAGGAGAATGAAGCCTTCAGATGTATTCCTCTCTGGTCTTCATTGGTGTGACTTTATACTGTCACACCAGTGCATTCTCAGTCTGTACACACAGCTATTATCATCTTAGGTTTTTGCTACTTCTGAAAAGTTCTTAGAATCTGCTTTCCTAATTTTAAAGTAGTTCTGCAAAAATCAAACAGCAAAAGCTTTTTCTCTGTGACAATCATGTACAGAAGAGCCTAAGATACATAGTCTGCCTTTGGTTTTAGTTCAGTTTTCATAGTGCTTGGTATAATAATTTTCTAAGACTTCTATAACTAAATGCCACAAACTAAGTATTTTAAAACAAATGAAATTTATTCTTTCATAATTTTGTGGATTAAAAGTCCAAAATAAAAATTTCAAGTAGGTAGGTCACATCTCTTCTGAAGTCACTAGTGAAGAATCCATTGCCTTATTCTCACTTCTGGTATTTGCCAGAAATCCTCGGCCTCACTCAACTCTCTACTTGTGCTGTCACATGCTTTTTCTTTTCTATGTCTGTCTGTCCGGATTTTCTTCTTTTTATAAGGACACTATTCATTGGATTAAGGTTTAACCTAATCCAGTATAATGCTATCTATATGACTACATCTATAAAGACCTTATTTCCAAAAAAAGTTTACATTCTCAGTTTCCAGGAGTTAGGACTTTAACATGTTTGAGATACCATTTACCTCACACTTTAGAATCTTTCACATTTAGATGCAAATATGCAAGGCCATAATTTGTTTTATAAAAGTTAAGCCCAATAAACTAGAAATATATTTTAAATTAAATTTTATTTTAAGGAAACTATGTATTTTAATTTTCCCAATCATCATTTCTGTTAATTTAGTTCTGTGGTGCATTTGCTACTTTAACACCCCTTGCCTCTTGACAAAGATCAATTGTGCCTAATAAAAAGGCTAAGCTACTTTGTAATAGAAAGGTTTATATGCTATTGTAAAGTAGGGATGCTAATTACAGATGAATGCATATAGGTATTTCACATAATTCAGCCTAATATGCTCTTATTATAGTGCAAATAGATTGAACTCTGAAGCAGGGAGTTAGTGTGACAACTGTTTTAAGTTCTAGAACCACAGAAATATCCCTTCAATAAAGTTTCATTGCCAATGGTAAATCAACATACCTGATTTCTATGTTTGGTTGATAATGAATTGCTTACAAAGGTAAGTTAATGAAGCCTAGGCTTAAATGGGATGACTTTCAGTTCAAAACTGAGAAATGCTATGTTCATTTTTGTTTTGAACAAGAGACATACTATAGTATTACAATCTATAGTCTTTCTAAAGGATGAATATTTCATATTAAATTGATATTGAATGAGGTGGGGGAGAGATTCCTAGATGCTTTTATGTATTATTTTGTCAAATATGTGTAACTCCAACAAAGTCTACAACCTCAATGTAAAAACATCACTAATTAATCCACTATGTCATAACACCTTAATTTAAACTCATGAACAAGGTTGAAAAAAATATCAATTTGGGTTTATAACATATCATAAATAGCACATTATATGATTATATGCTAACTTAATGTTGAACTGATAAATACAATACAAAGATAAGTTTTTATAATCATAATCATCTTCTTTTATTTATATCCTGCTCCTACTGAGATGAATCTCGGGTTACATTTACATATTGAATTACAAAGTTAAAACTAATGATGGGATCAATTATGCCCCATACTGAGCTGTGCACTTTAGAGTGACTTTGAGAAAACAGGAGGGTCAAAAAAAAAATCCACAGTGCACAGTGGTTTCAAGATTATGCTAACAGATAAGCAAAGGAAGGACTGTAATGGACATTAATTTGTATTATAAAGAAATCAGGCTTATTTGGTGTGAACCTTAAAATACATTTTTAACTTAAAACTTTATGAGAATTGGTTAATATATGTACTATGTCACGGAAGTCACATTAACAGTTTGTTTAAGGTAGATATAAAAGGGAAAATGTAATGTGAATCTCTTTATGATCGTGTTTATTTGTTCTTGCAATACTTTTAATGTTTCTTTAATGTATTTGTTGTGTCTCAGATGAAATATAATCTGCCCATCTTTTTCCTTTTCTAGCTGCATAATAAATGTGCTTCTCATCTAAAACCTGAGTGTGACTGTGGACCTTTGAAGGACCATATTTTACCACCCACAACAATCTGTCCAGTGGTACTGGTGAGTTTTCCTTATCGTTCTGCTGTACCTTGAGGATCTTCTGACTAATCAATGTGCTAATCAAAATGCTTCTGGAACTGTTTTTTTATTAGTCAGAGCAGAACTATATAGCTATAAACTATGTCATCACTTCAGAGCAGAACACCTTTGCTCACTATATTTCTTTTTTCCTTCATGTCACCATACACTTTTTAGTGAGGTATGCTGGAACTGAAGCTGACTCAGGTTTTATCACTTAGTCATGCTGTACTTACCAGAAATTGTTTGGGCAGGACATTTCTACATTTTACATATTTTATAGATCTAGCTTCCCGAATAACAAAGTTACTCTTATGTGCAGTTGTGCTAGGGTGCGCATTTTTCAGCATGCTATTTTTCTTTAGTGTTTAGTTTTCTTACTTAGGTCAGAGGCCACCTAAAATGACACATACCCTGGAAAAAGTTATGCAGTGCCATTAGTTATCTTTTTATTGAAGAATAAATTTACCTGCAAAATAATTGCTGAATTCAGTAAATACAGAAATAAAAAATGCATGAGGAAAGTAATTGAGAACAAACCTTGATAAGAAGAGGAGATAGCCAAAAAGAATATTAATTTTCAAAATCCAAATTGTCTCTAAAGTGAAAATTATTTAAAAATGCAAAGTATTTATTTCCATAGCACACTTTTCATTTTTAAAAACAATGTAGAAATTCAGTGGCTGGGACTTTCGTTTCCTATAATAAAAATACAGCAACTAAGAAATGTTAGACAAATACTTTTGAAAAGGTCAACATAGAAATTAATCAAATTATTCAATTTGCACCCACTTATGATTCATTTTGTAATGATCTATGAAATATTAGTTGTATTTTAAATGGCTTTATTTAACAAAATTACTAAAAAGTCTTCATTTTCCCCAAGTACAGAAATAGAAGAAAGGAAGATACCTCCATATTGCTGAGGATAACAATAACCAGTTCTAAATTTCCTTTCATCATATAAGATTTATTACCCATCTTTAAGTAAATGAGATTAATTAAAAATAATGAGATACATATATAAATACCTCATATTTTAGTTTACTTTGTCATTTTTATGTTTTTAAAGGTTCTTTTAGAGAAAAAGGATTTCTAGAATTTTTGCATTATTTTTATTCTTCTTTAAAAGTGTAAGAATTTGTCTGCTTTAGATGCAGTCTTGATCTCAGATTTTAATTCTTAGAAGAAATCTGTTCTATCATTCTACTCTCCAACTGCATGTAGAGACCCTACTCAGTTGATATGAGTTCACATAGAGTCAAACACAGGTGAATTCTTTTTATTATTGCTTCTTTCTTCAAGAAAAATCAAAGGTTAAGAACAAGTTACATGGATATTCTTGGCTTCTCACAGTCTTGCAAACCCATTCATTGCTACATTTAGATACTTTTGATTGTAAAGGTTTATTTTCAATGATTAAATATTCCTATGATGTTAATCATGATTTGTATCTCAACATTTTCTATTTTATCATTTCTGTGGTGCTTTCCTTTGAAATATTTGACAATTTTGACCATTTAATCTTTTATGAGTGTCTTCCACTATGCTGCACTCTCCTTAGTCTTTCTATATTTATTTCTCTGAGGTTTGAACTCAGGGCTTCTGCTTGTAAAGCAGGTGCTCTAATGCTTGAGCCACACCTACAGTCTCTTTTAGTCTGGTTATTTTAGAAATAGGGTCTCATGAACTATTTGCCTCAGTTGACTTGAACCCTGATCCTCCTGATCTCAGTCTCCCAAATAGCTAGAATTATAGACATAAGCCACTTATGCTTGGCTGTCTGGGTATTTCCTATAATGTTTTTCCTGGGTTTATAATGTCAACCTGCTCCATGTTGGCACATCCCTTCTAGCTTCTCCTGTCATACCTTTACACTCTTAATATTCTTCCCAGTGAGATCTTATGTAGTCAACTTCATTTTCATGTTAATTTGTATTAAATTCATCCTTCTATTCTGAACTCAAACATTCTAAGGGCTGCAACCAGGAGGGCCCATCCTATTTTCAGTGCAACATAAACAAAATATTATTAACTAATGTAATAATGATTGGTCTTATTTACTCAGCAGTACAATATGCCAGATAGTATGCTAAATATACTGATTAACTACTTGATTCAAGTAATATTTTTAGAGTATTATAGGTAAGAATCAAATGGTAGAATGGAAAAGCAAATCTTTCATTTATTGATTTTACATACCAGTGGGGTGAAGTAGACAAAAAATAATAAGTAAATTATTTAGTGCCTATTTGTATTTAAATATATAGAGACAGAGTGGTGGTTGGCAAGAATTAGGGATAAGGGAAAGGAATATATCCAAAGCATATGAAGTTCTGATTGTGTGTTTAGAGATCTAATATAGAGCCTGATGACGATAGTTAATACTGTGTTCTACACAGGAAATTTGCCAAGACTAATTTTTGAGAAGAATATCTATTAATTTTCTTGACAGTGGTAATCACTTCATTTTGTGTATGTGTATTGCCAGATAATAAAGTTACGCCTAACTTATTTGTAGATCTAATTGGACTTTATTTGTGATTCATGAGTCAAAGCAACCTCCATTCTGCATGATAGAATGAGAGCTCCTATTGGACAATATCAGAAAAGTGGATTTTGTAAAGTGGGAATGGGATAACAGAACAATAAAAGTACAAAGCTGCTTGGTTAACATTAGGTTACTTTTTAAATAAATATTTCTTCTGCTTTAAATTGACTCACATAAACTAGATTCTCCTGTTATCAGGAAAATGCATTGTTTTAGAATCTGTTTCCTTAAAGTTTCAGCTTGATTATGTAGCATTTAGCTTGAGTAACTCCATTTTATATTTGGCCTGATCTGTGGGGCCTAGTGCAGGACTTCAGTCTAAAATGATAGTCTCCCATATCAGCATGTTATCATCTATACCTTAAATATATCCAACCCAAAGTACCTCTTGTATTTTCAATATAAATGGCACAAGTAAAGTAGGTAAATAGAAGAAAAAAATTGAGGCTGCAGGTATAAGGAGGCATTTGAGTTCATTGAAGAGATAATTGGGTGAAGAGCTGAAGCATTTGAAGGAATCTCCATGTGGCTCTCAGGGGATAAAAGAGCCAGCAAAAACACAGACTCTATTGACAGGAGACAGCTGGCATACTTGAAGGACAATCCGGAAAATTAGTGGTTAGATCTGAGTATGTAGAAGAAGGAATTGTACAGGAGAAGGTCAAAGATGTCACAGATTTTCATTTTTTGTGAGGCATTTTGGGCATTGTAAGATATTCAGCTTTTATTCTGAATAAAGTGGTAAGCCATTAGGGATATTGAACAGAAGAAGAAGTAATCTAACTTCTAGATTGTTTTTGAAAAGAACAATCTAGCTACTATGAGAAGAGGGCAACAATAGGACATAAGACACTTCTGATTTCTGAGAAAATAGGAAGTTGGACATTGACTGAAAGCGATGGTGGCATGAGATATTTAGGAAGTTTGAGCATTGGAAAGAAATTATGCACCAGTCACGTAGGAATGTAGCCACTAAACGTATTCAAGAAGTACAGTGTGGCTTCCGAGGAATAAAGAGCAGTCACTTCTAGTTAACAATCAAATATTTAGAACTCCAGGACAAGTAAGTTTGGATGAGTATATTTTTATAGTTGCATTCAGTTATGTTTCTCCAGCTACATTCCAGCTCCAGGAATAGAATAGGCACGGCCTCGTCTTAATGAGACTCTGCCTTTTCGAATACAATGAAAAGGGAGAAGCCAGGGTGTTGAGAATGGATGCACAGCAGCAATTATAAGGATTGGCTATGGAATTTAAGGAGGGAAATGCAGGATGTAAGAACATGAAGAGCAAGGCACAGTATATTAGGAAGAATGCACTGCAGGTTACAGTAGAACCAAAAATTATTAGAGTCAAGGTTAATGTCAGGTTTTAAGAGAGAATGGGTAGCAGTTATAATGAGATGTATGAATTCATTTACAACTCACAACGACTCCATAAAATGAATATAGTAATTTTCTCAAATTCACATCTGAAGAAACTGAGAAGTAAAGGAAATAAGAAAGTTCCCTAGTGTTACATGACTAGAATATGTCAGTCCAGAATTGGCATCTAAGTGTTACCACTCCAGAGCCACACAAAAAATTTTTTTTTTCCATACTTTCTCCAAATCTCACCAAGCACTTTCTATTTTTTATCATAGTTCAACTTTCCCAAACCAGAAAACTAAGAATCATTTTGGATACCTTAGTTTAAATATCAAATTAATCATTAAGTATCCTGTTGTGATGATTTCAATCTTTTCTCTTTCCTTCAGCCCAGCTGTAACTACTTCATACGCCATCCTGACAGAATTTTCTATAGGACTGTGCTAGTGGTATTCTCGCTGCACTGCCTCCTTTCCATATGTCCCCAACTTGCTTCCTGGGTCTATATTCTAAAATGCAAATATTGCATGCCTCTTTCATGCATAAAATGTTTTCGATGAGTCCTTATTTGAATTCCAAACTCTCTACTATGGTAAACAAGGCTCTTTAACAGGATCAACCCACCCAATCTCTTACAAACCACCTTACATACTAGAAATCAAGGATAATTGAGCTACTTGTAATTCTCTAAGTACACCTGTTCACTCAAGCCTTTGGAGTCTTGTATATGTTAATAAATCTGCTTAAATCACTTCATTTTAGAAATTTCTCCATCTTGCTAAGTAAGAATTAAAGGTCACTTTTGAATAATGGAGTAAATACATTGACTATTGCACCCATTAACTATTTAATTGCTTATACTTTCAACAAATTAATGAAGTAGTTCTGCCTACAAAATTGCTTAATCTGCTCAAATTGATAGCCATTGAGCCTTTTCAGACTGTGAGCTCTCATTAACTTCCCAGGAACAGTCCCACACTAAATCACCTGCTGGAAAGTCTTAACATTTGTTTAAAGGAAATCATTAATACTCACAAATAATCTCATTTAATTTTTTTATTCTT